AGCCTCGGAAAGGAAAGCCAGCTCGTACTGCCTGTCCTCTAGGACGTCACTGCCAAGGGCAGGAGCACCCCCGACGGACAGAGGACGGGCAGGGTCAGAGACCAGAGCGGTAGCGTAGTCAAGGCGGCGGGTAGAAGCGAAGTCAGCGACAGCAGCGACAAGCGCGTCAAGGCGCGAGACAGGAACAGCAGGGTCGGTAACAAGAGAGGCAAGGACCCGAGGGACAAGGGGACGAGCAGCACGGAGGTAGTCAGAGAACGGAGGAGGTGCAACAGCAAGGGACGAGGGAGGAGGGGACGGGAGGAGGGGAGGACGAGACGAGTGGGAACGGAGCAACATAGGGTGGGTGGGCAGGACAGGAGAGACGGGACGAGCACGGGAGGGACGGCGAGCCCAAACGTGAGACGGAGGGGTAGGGTCAGGGGACAGCGGAGGAGACACAGGAGGGGAACGAGGAGGAAGACGGGCCGGAGACGAGTCTGGCGGCGGGAACACAGGACCGTAGACAGGGAGGTCAGGAGGCGGTGGGGGAGACACCGGCGCGCGGTCCGGGGAGGGAAGGCCGAGCAGGCGGAGAGCGGAAACCGGCGGCGACGGCTGCTGCGGCGGCGACGACGGCTGGGCCGGAACTCTCGGACCAGCAGAGGCAGAACGACCGTCGGCAGAACACTCAACAGCAGCACCCCCAGAACCAACACCCCCAGAGCGAGAACCCCCTCCAACACCAGCGGCACCCCCAGAAGCCGCAGGACGAACACCCTCCTCCACACCAGCACCCCCAGGGGCCGAGAGCAGCGGCGGCAGTGGCGGCAACGGCTGCGGCGGCGGCGACAGCGGCGACGGCTGCGGCGACGAAAGCGGCGACGGCTGCGGCGGCGACGGCGACGGCGGCGGCAGCGGGGTCGGCGACTGCGACAGTGGGGGCGGAGGCACCGGGGAAGGGGGACGCGGCAAGGACGGACCGGGGGTACCACCAGAGTCAGCAGACTCCTCAACGGGGACAACCGACGGGAGGGGAGTGACGTGGGAGACACCAGACGGGGCAGGACGAGGCGGGAGAGGGGCAGGGGCTACCGGGGGAGAGGGAGCAAGGAAAAGGGGGGGGGCAACTGGGAGACCTCGGTGAGGGAAGCGGCGGTAGAAGGAGACGGACTCATCAAAGGTGACGTCACGAGAGTGGAGGAAGCGGTGAGACGGCGGGTGGTAGAAAAGCCAGTCAGACGAGTCCAGGGGGAAACCGAGGAAGACACAGGGGACAGTGCGGGCAGTGAGCTTGTCCGTGCCAGAGGCACGAACGTGAGCAAGGCAGCCCCAGACGTGGAACGCAGACGCGTCACCGGGGGACCCGGTCCAAAGGAGGGTCGGCGAAACTTGCGGCCGCTGGGAGCGTGGCCACAGGTTAAGCTGGTGAGCCGCGTAGCGAACAGCGAACGGCCACAGAAAATGGGGGCATCAGCATGGATCATGGAGGTACGGGCGACCTCCATGACCAAGCCGATGCGGCGCTCAGCAACCCCATTCTGCTGTGGCGAGTCCGGCAAGGTGTACGACTGGGTGATGCCCTCCGCACGACAGAACTGTCCAAGCCGACCAGAGGCGAACTCGCCGCCACGGTCGGAGTGGAGACACAACACGGGGAGACCGCGGTGGAGACGCGCAGCCACAACCCACGGGAGAAGAACGTCGGGCACGTCGGCCTTCCGCTCCAGGGGAAACACCGTGGTGTAGCGCGTGTAGTCGTCGACAAGCACAAGGAAGTAGCGCTCACCGCGCGGTCCGGGGACGGGGGCAGGGCCCCAAACGTCCAAGTGCAGGGTCTGAAGGGGGGCAGTAGCAGGACGCAGCGAGGAGGAGTGAGGAGCACGGCGGAGCCGACCCTCGACGCAAGGCGTGCACGGTGGCGCAGTCGAGGGAGGAAGGGCAGGGAGCGACGCGGGGAGACCTAAGACAAGACCGTGCTGGGACATGTGACGCAGACGCGGGAGAGCAGGGTGACCTAAGCGGTGGTGCCAGAGAAGGGAGGGGTGAGTGAGGGACCGACACGAGCAAGCTGCAGCGACCTGGGAGGACGCACCAACCGGGGGGAAGCGGTGTGTAGGGTAAACAGACCGGACACCGGGTCCCGGGGGAACGTCGCAAGGGGGAACCTGAGACAGCCTCAGAACAGACAGCGAACCGCTCGTGCCCGGGGAACGTGGTGGTGACGCCGAGGTCCTGGAGACAGCCGACACCAACCAGGTTCCTGGAGAACGAGGGAACGTGGAGGCCAGTAAGGGAGCCCGAGGGAACTGCCGGACAGGGAAGGGACGTAGAACTGCGCGCGACGACCGGACCCGCAGAGGGGTCAGCGAGAGAGACAACAGCAGGTGCAGCAAGCGGCGTGAGCGTGGAACGGTCGCGGAAGAAGCAGGCAGAAGCACCAGAGTCGAGAGTGAAGGACAGCGACGCAGTGGCGGGGGCCGGGGACGGAGCCGGTGCAGCGACTAGACTAGGCAACCTAGGCAGTCCTACGCCTGTCGCAGCAGGGGAAGCTAAGCTACACAAGGGTGAAACACCTAAACTAGAGTACACAGGGTAGTAAGATCCATCAACACTAGAAGCGTCAGCATACAAAGCATGCAAAGCAGCACCTATCTGATCCATGTCTAACTCAAAGATCGGCACGCCCTGGCGGAGCAGGCTGTGCCAGTCAGGGAGGTCCGGGGCCGGGCCAAAGCGACGACGAAAAAGATCGTCGAGGCGGCGGAAACAGCGGGCGGTCGGGTGCGGGCGGCGGCACAGAGTGCCGCGGAGAGGCCCGGTCTGAAGCTGGTACTGGCAGGTCACAGCACTGGAGCCGCTGGTAGACGCCAAGCTGCGCGGGCCGCCACCACGGCCACCGCCTCCGGAGGTGCCGGGCCAACCAGGCGAGAGACGAGCCCACGGCTGCGGCGGGTGCTGCTGGGACGGCGGCTGTGGCTGGGGCTGGTCCTGCTGCTGCTGGGACTGCTGCTCCTGCCCACCGGTGGTAGTCCCCTCAGGCGGACTACCGTCACCACCACCACGACCACTACCACCTGCGTCACCACCCCTACATCCCTGGCGGCCACGGCCACCGCGACGCGAGCGCTGCTGCGGGTGGACAGCAGCAGCCGTCTCGTTAAGAGGGGTCGCCGTGGCGACCGCAGCCGAAACGTCAGTGAACGTGCACGGGGATGGGGCACAGCCGTGAAAGATAGAGACTGGCGGCGCACCGCTCGACTGAGCGATAGTGCGCTGGCGAGTCTCGATCTCAGTGAGGGTGTCGACAAAGGCGGTCAGGGTGAGGTCACCCGGGTGCTGGCTAAGAAAGTGGTCGCGAGCACTAGCGAGGCGGTCTGGCAGGCGCATAGCGATAAAATAGAGCGTCATGCAGAAAGGAGGGGGGAGCGCAGTGAGCTGGGCAGCAGTGCTGGCAGTGCGATAGCGAGTCTCTAGGGCACGCAAATGAGTGGCAAAATCTGCGACAGTAGGGAAGGCAGCCAGGTCTGGGAACAGCATCGGAAAGAGCAAGCGGCCAGCAGAAGCGGAGGCAGGGGTGGAATAGCGAGCAATAACGGCGTCTAAATAAGCTTTGGCCGTTTCAACAGTAGCAAAACGCGAGCGCTCAGACACAGGGAGGGCGTGACTAATAGCAACCTGAGCTACTGCATCGCGTGAGTCCCAGATCGCACAGGCCAGCGCAGCAGTAGAGAAAGCCTCACGGTCATCAGAGGAGGGGTCAGCAGGGAGGGGAGTAGGTGCAGGGGGACGGGGGAGCAAGCCATCAGCATGGACAACCAGAGAGTGGCCATCCTGGCGCTGACCTGTAAGCTGGCGGCGAAGATCGGAGAGCCAGGCGGCGAAGTCAACCGCGTGGCCCTCAGCGTCCAGGCGGAGCACAAAGTCAGCCATCGTGCAGGGTCAGCGGCACAGCTCCTCAGCGACACAGCGGCACAGCAGCACAGCTCCTCAGCGGCACAGGAGCACAGCGGCGCGGGGACACGGCGGCAGCACTCTCCAGTAGGGCAGCAGCTAGGCGTCCCAGCGCAGGCGAGCAGAAGACACAGGGCCCGAGAGGACACGGCAGGCCGAGCAGGGGAGGCGGGCAGGTGCTCTGGGGCCGGGCTGGTGCTGGGAGGGGCCAGGCTGGTGCTGCTGGGGCCGGTCGGGCACGAGGAGGGGCCGGGCAGCGCTGAGGAGAGGCCGGGCGGCGCTAGGAAGGGGCCGGGCGGCACTAGGAGGAGGCCGGGCGGCACTAGGAGGAGGCCGAGCGGCACTAGGAGGAGGCCAGGCGGGCGAGCGCTAACAGCAGGCGCGACAGGGGCCAGCGGGCGCGACGGGGCCTAAGGGGCGCGACGGGGCCCAGCGGGCACGACGGGGCCCAGGGGGGGCGCGACGGGGCCGAGGAGGCGCGACGGGGACCAGCGGGCACGACGGGGCCCAGGGGGCCGCGACGGGGCCTAACGGGCGCGACGGGGCCCAGGGGGGGCGCGACGGGGCCTAGCAGGCGCGACGGGGCCTAGGAAGCGCGAAGGGGCCCAGCGGGCGCGACGGGGCCTAGGAGAGGCGCGACGGGGCCGAACGGGCGCGACGGGGCCCAGAGGGGGGGGACGCGACGGGGCTTAGGAGGCGCGACGATGCCTAGGAGGCACGACGGGGCTCAGCGGGCTCGACGGGGCCCATGGGGGGCGCGACGGGGCCTAGGAGGCGCAACGGGGCCCAGCGGGGGCGCGTTAGGGCCTAGGGGTCGCGACGGGACCCAGCGGGCGTGACGGGGCCTAGGGGGAGCGCGACGGGGCCTAGGAGGCGCGACGGGGCCCAGCGGGCACGACGGGGCCCAGGGGGGGCGCGACGGGGCCTAACGAGCGCGACGGGGCCCAGGGGGGGCGCGACGGGGCCTAGGGGGCGCGACGGGGCCTAGGAGGCGCGACGGGCGGAAGCGGTAGGCGGGGGGATCCTAACCTAAGCGTGATACCATGTTAACGTAGAAACGAAATGATTACTAGAGGTGGAAACCTAGAACAAATACTAGTTGGTTGTACTCACTAGAAGCATACCTCAGTCTAGCCTATAACTTCTACATAGATAATATGTATAAGTTGACAATAGGAGCTTATATTGATGTCCCAGCATCTTTTTGTGTGATGGTCTTCGGCTCACATTGGTGCCCTCGCTCCTCCTGTTACAGCCATTGCTGCTTCTAAACAAAATCTCGTCAGCTCCTCCCATTCGTCTCTTTCTGCTGACCTACAGAAGTGCAGGGTCAGACAACTCACTGAACCCAACTCAGTCCGCTATTGCCTCACACAACTCACTCCCTCCTGTTGCTGCTGCTGCTGCTGTCACTGCTGTTGCAGCTCCTTGCCTTTTCTCTTTCTGCTGGGAAATGACTGCTGCTGCAGGCCTGCAGCAGAAGAGAGGGTCAGGCAGCTCACAGAACTCACACTATTACTCACTGCTCCACCTTGCACCCCTGTGACAACATTGAGGGGTGAGAACAAGGACTGCAACCGTGCCTCTGCCACTGCCCCTGCCCCTGCCGCACCGAGCGACCCTGTGACAGTACTGAGGGGTGAGAACATCGAGTGCAGCGGAGCCTCCACGTCTGTGCCTATCCCTGCCGCTGACCCTACCATTCTCCCTCTGTCTACTGTTCTACCAGCCGCCAAATCCCGCCCTTCACCCTGATTCAACTCAGCATCACCCCAATCTCGCACGCCTGCCTGCACACCGAAACAGGCAGGCCCGAGGGTCCCACACTCCGGCTGACCCTCTCTTCTTTGAGTCGACTGCACAGCTGTCACCCCTGCCAGCTGCCCCGTCCTCCGGACTGTGTGTTTACCAGCAGAGTGTGAAATTTCAACTCCTTTCCCCTCAGTCCTCCCCAGTATCGCCTCAGATTCTTCCTCTCCAGTCTGCTTCAACGACTTTCCATTTGGAAGTATCTCCTCTCCTTCCATTCCCCCGCGCAAGCCTCCTGCATCTGCCAACACAGAACGACCAGCGCCCAGAGCCTTTCTCTGTGCCGTTGCTGCTGCTGCTGCTGCTGCTGCTGCTGCTGCCACTGCTGCTGCTGCCGCAGCTGCTGCTGCCATCTCAACCCCCATGCCTCCTCTATCTGCCAACACAGAAAGACCAGCGCTCACGCCATTTCCCTGAGCCGTTGCTGCTGCCTCCGCCCAAACGCTGGCGATCGTGGGGAGGGCAGTTGGCGGCCGGGCGGGAAAAAGAAGGGCCGGAGAGTTGGACCTTTGAGTGGGGAGAAGGTTGGGGTGGGAGGGGAACACAGCAGGTGATAAGGGGCGTCTGGGTGCTCCTGCTTGCATTGGCTCTTTCAGGAAGTGAGACTGCAAAGCCAGCCTTGTCTTCTTTGGCTCTGTTAGATTCGGTTGGTTCTGTTGCTCCTGCTGGTTCCGCTGGTTTTGTCTGGAGCGAGAGATTTCTGATAAGTCAGAAACCTGGGAGGGTTCGGATGGGAAAACCGGTCTCGCGGCTGTGCCTGCCGCTGCTGCTGCTGCTGTGCCTGCTGCTGCTGTGCCTGCTGCTGCTGCTGCTGCTGCTGGTGCCGGTGCCGGTGCTGCCATCAACAGTTCTCTTCCCGTTACTGCTGAAAATGCAACTGCTGGTGGAATCAGTACAGGAGGAACAACAGGAGCCGCAAGAGGGGCAGTGGGCACGTCAGGCTCAGTGATCTGGCCTTTCTTCATGGCTGCATGAGGAGTGTGTAACGCAAATCGTAACGGGCTGGGTGCCTTTTGAGTCGACTCAAAAGTGATCTGGCCTTTCTTCATGGCTGTATGAGGAGCCGCGAATCGTAACGGGCTGGGTGCATGGGCGACAGCAACTTCTGCCCCTCCTGGCCCTCGCGGCCCTCCTGCCCCTCCTGCCCCTCCTGCCCCTCCTGCCCCTCGGACCATCTCAGCCCCTGCCACCCCTCCTGCTACCACTCCTCTGCCAGAAATTTGGTTGCTCAGCACCTCACTGCCACATTCGCCTCGGCCAAACAGGTCCTGCTCAGCAGCAGCCGCAGCGGGTGTTATCTGGCACTGTTCACCGGCAGCGGGTGCAGGTGTTATCTGGGGAACGTGCAGCTGCTGCAGCCACTTCTTCATTTTCAACTGCGCTCCTTCCCACCCTGACTGTGCCTGCCCCCCCTCCTCCTCCTCGTGTGACAAGCCTTTACCATCAAGCCCCTCACGCACACTCCAGTTGTTACCCACCTCGATCCCAAGGGGTTCCTGATGTTCCTGGTGACTCGGTTGGCTGGCCAAATCAGTTGCAGAGAACGCTTGCTTCTTGCCTCGCCCTGTGAGTCGGTCCAGCCATGCTTGGCTGGCAGAAAGCGCTTCCTTTCTGTCACTCTCTAGCTGCTTCCTCTTCCCCATCCCCCTACTCGCCTTGCTTAACGGGTCTCCTCTAAGCTCCAGGCTGTTGCTCCCAGTCCCAAAAGCCCCGTTGCCGAGCCCCTCTATGCCTGCATCCCCGCTGGCGCTTAGCCCTGCCTTTCCACTGGCGCTTAGCCCTTCCCCACTAGGTCCCTTCTTGGCCTGTATGGAACCCCCCTTAGGGCTTATTCTTGCACTTACTTTCCTGCCATCCGCCCCCCATTTAGTCACACGCCACTCAGTCGGCCCTGCTGTCGTTTTCTCCTTCCCAGATGCCTCCCTCTCGCCGTGTGCCTTCTCCTTCGCACCCCCATTCCCTTCGCCCCTTTCCCTCCCTTCTGCACTACCCTCCCTTTCGTCTTCCCTGCTTCTTTGAGCTGCCCCTTCAGATGCCCCTTCAGCTGCCCCTTCAGCTGCCCCTTCAAGAGCTGTAGAAAGCACCTCTCCCCCCCCCTGCTGCCTCTTCTCCCTCTCTAACTTTTCCAACCTATGTAGTTCCAGCAGCTGCTGCTGTAGCAGCTTCTCACAAGACCCTACCTGCCCCCACTGCTCTTTCTCTATCTGCTCCCCTTCCTCCCTTCCTCCCTGCTGCCCCCTCTCCCTCTCTATTTGCTCCAGCCTGTGTAACTCCAGCAGCTGCTGCTGCAGCTTGTGAAAAGCCCCTAGCTGTCGCCTCTGTCCTTCCTCTAGCTGCTGCTGCTGCTGCTTTTGCAGCTGCTGCTCCTGCTGCTGCTTTTGCTGTTGCTGCTCCTGCTGCTGCTTTTGCTGTTGCTGCTCCTGCTGCTGCTGCTGCTTCTGCCCCCGCTCCTCGTTTCCTCTCTCCTCCTGACGTCCTGGCTTCACCTGCCCCCCCGCCTCGTTTCCTTCAGGCTGCCACGGCATACGCTGCTCCTCTTGCTCCGTACCCTCCTCTTCCTGCTTCTCATCCTCTTTCTGACCATTTCCCTCCTTCCCTTTCCCCTCCTCCACCTCCTCCCCCTCCCCTCGTTTCTCCTCCTCCTCCTCCCCCTTCCCTCGAATCTTCAGCCCGCCAGCAGCCCACTGAGGTCCTGATGACTCACCAGTAAACAGAGACTGCTTTTGAGTGGACACAAAAACCTTCCCTCCTATATTCTGCCCACCACCGACCCTCCCAGGTCCTGACGACTCACCAGTAAACAGAGACTGCTTTTGAGTGGACTCAAAAACCTTCCCTCCTATATTCTGCCCACCACCGACCCTCCCAGGTCCTGACGACTCACCAGTAAACAGAGATGGCATCCATGCCACCCGAGCCCTCTTCCGCTCCCTCCTTTTCCCACCACTCTTCCCATCACTACCCTCACTACCCTCACTACCCTCACTACCCTCTGCTGCATTACCAGCCTCTCTTGGTAGATCCGGCCACGCTTGGACCAACCCCGCCCCCCCCCTGCCCCATGACCACACGCCCCTGTGCACAGTGGCAACTGCTGCTGCTGCTGCTGCTGCTGCTGCTGCTGTGGCTGCTGCTTCCGCTCCTTGTTGCTGCTGCTGGGCCGTCTGCTGGTTCTCCTGGTACTGCTGGTTCGGCCTGGACGCCCCTCCCCCATGCACCGTTGGAGTGTCGTTCGCATCAGCAGCAGCATAGAAGCTGCCACCGCATCCCACGGACAGGGAAAGGCTAAGATTAATTACTTCCGAAATAGGAACAGGGGAGGGGCTGGGGAAGAGGTTAGAGAGAGGTAACGGGCTGGGAGGGTTGGAGGCAGGAGGAAGGGCCTGGAACGGCCGGTACCCCCGCTGCCAGAGACGTGCAGGCACATCTGGTGCAGGTACATCTGGTGTAGGAGGGTCAGGTACCAGTACATCTGGTATTGGTACGTATGCAGATACATCCGCCACAAGTGAACTGCCAAAGATTAGAGGGATGTCGACATCTGGAGCAGGCCTCTCTTCACGCCGCCAAGCAATCTCCATTCTGCAGTCAACGCCTCTCTCTCTGCTGCTTCTAGACTTGCTCCTCAGTCGCCCACCCAGCACAGCCCTCCCCTCGTCCTGCTGCCAAGCAATCTCTCTGCTGTAACCAGTGCCTCCTCCCTCTCTGCTGCAACCAGTGCCTTCTCCCTCTCTGCTGTAACCAGTGCCTTCTCCCTCTCTGCTGTAACCAGTGCATCCTCTCTCACTGCTGTAACCAGTGCCTTTCCCTCTGCTGCTCCTAGACTTACTTCTCAGTCGCCCACCCCTTGCCATGTCCAGAGAAAACAGCGGCAAAAGCAACCTCTCCTCCCTTGCCTGCTTCCCTGGTAGAATCTGTTCTCTCGCTTCTCTCTTCTCCCCCAACAAGGCACCTGCTGCAGTTGCCGCACCCCTCTCCCCCCTCCCAATCCCCACTCCTCCCTTTTGAGCCGACTCAAAATCCCTCTCAACACTCATTCCTCCTTTTCCTCTCGACTCAAAAACCCTCCCCACACTCACTCCTCCCTCCCCAGTCTCCTCTGTTTCTCCTGACGAGGACGGCCCGCTTTCCAGATCCATCCCCCCTCCGCCTTCCACGTCATCACAGCTGGAGCATCTCAGCCGTTGATTCTTCCGCCCTCCCTGCCCGTGCTGCTGCCGCCCTCCCTGCTCATGCTGCTGCTGCTCCTCCTGCTGCTGCTGCAGCTGCAGCTGCTCTTGGTGCAGGAGTAAAAACTGCTGCCGCAAATATTGCTGTCTGTCTAGGAGTAGACGCTGTGCTTCGGCTTCGATTGCCGCGTATGCTTGCAGCTGCTGCTGCTGCTGGTGCAAGATCTGCTGCCGCTGCTGCAGGTGCTGCTGCTGCTCGTGCTCCTGCTGCTGTATTGGGAAGAGTTGACGGCGGTGTTGGTGCTGCTGCTGCTGCTCGTGCTGCTGCTGCTGCTGCTCATACTGGTGATGGTGATACGGGTGGTGCTGCTGCTGCAAAGCCAGTCGCTCTTGTTTTCGTTGCTGCTGCTGCGCCAGTTGCAAAGCCACCAGCTCCTTTTCTCGTCGCTCCAGTCGCTGCTGCTGCTCCAGTTGCTGCTGCTGCTGCTCCCGTTGTTGCTGCTGCTGCTGCTCCAGCAGCATTTCCTGCTGAGCAATACATTCCTCCTTAATTAACAGATCCAACCTCGGATCCTCCAACCCTAAAATAGACCGTTCGAGATCGCCCATACCCTCAATCCTCCACTTGCCATCAACCCCCCAACCATCAATCCCGATACCATCAAACGCCAGCAAACCACCACGGTCAACCAAGCCTTTCCCCAGACCCACTGAATGATCCTCAGACTCTAACGACAACCAGGGGTGAGCGAGAATCTGCTGGGCGGTGGGGCGAGCAGCCGCGTCTAGAGAGAGCATGGAGCGCAGGAGGGCCTTGGCGGGTGGGGAGAGCGCGAGGCAGGCGGGGGAGGAGAGGTCCAGGCGGCCGGAGCAGATGGCCTCGAAGGTCTGCACTGACGTGGCTCCCCAGAAGGGCACGAAGCCTGGGGGTAGGGTGGGGGAGGGGAGACAGGCAGAAAAGAGGCAGTGTTTGAGCGCATGTGGATGGGCAAAAGAGGGCGGCAGAGGCTGGGAACTGCTGGGCGGAGGGGCGAGTAGCCGCGTGTAGAGAGAGCATGGAGCGCAGCAGGGCCTTGGCGGGGGAAGAGAGCGCGAGGCAGGCGGGCGAGGAGAGATCGAGACGCCCCGAGCAGATGGCCTTGAACGTCTGCACTGACGTGGCTCCCCAGAAGGGCACGAAGCCTGGGGAAGAGTGGGGAGGGGGGTAAAGGGTGGGGTACGCAAGGGCGGGATCAAGGGGTGAGTTTGGAGGCAGGCGGGCGAGGAGAGGTGAGGTCGAGGCGGCCAGAGCAAATGGCCTCGAAGGTCTGTGCTGAGGTGGCTCTCCAGAAGGGCACGAAGCCTGGAGGGGGAAAGGGGAGAACAACGGAGAGGGAACAGGCAGAGGGACTGTTGAGGGCGTGAAGATGGCGAGGAGAGGTCCAGGCGGCCAGAGCAGATGGCCTCGAAGGTCTGCACTGACGGGCACGAAGGGCCCCCAGAAGGGCACGAAGCCTGGGGGTTGGGTAAAGGGTGGGGGTACGCGAGGGCGGGATCAAGGGGTGAGTTTCGAGGCAGGCGGGCGAGGAGAGGTCGAGACGACCAGAGCAGATGGCCTCGAAGGTCTGCGCTGACGTGGCTCCCCAGAAGGGCACGAAGCCTGGGGGTCGAAGGGGAAATAGGTGGGGGAGGGGGATTTGAGGTTTATGAGTGAGAAGGTCTGATCAACCTCAAGCTTTTGAGCAGTAATAATCTAGACTTGACACGAGGTTAAGTAGGTTGCTTTTGAGACGTCTCAAAAATAATCTAGCTGCTAGACGCCTCAAAACTAGATTATCATCACACGGTAAGGGGGGGGAGGGGAAATTGAGGTTTATAAATGAGCAGGTCCGATCAAAACCCACCTGAGAGCATGATGTAGAGAATCACTCCGAGGCTCCAGATGTCAGCTGGCAGCCCGTACCTGCCGCCCCGAACCACCTCCGGAGCCATGTAGTACGAGCTGCCGACCCTGCCCCGAGCCTCGGCCCCAGGCTGGGTGTGCAGGAAGAGGGCCAGGCCGAAGTCCCCCAGCTTCATAAGGAGACTGGTGGGCGGCACAGGCGGGGAGGCAGGAGCAGTAACAGAAGAACCACCAGCAGCAGCAGCAGCAGTACTGGTGTTGACGCAGGTGTTGGGAGAGGTTGCAGCAGGTTCGGCGGGGTTGAGGGAGAGGAAGATGTTTTCTGGCTTGATGTCTCGGTGGATGATCCCTAGGCTGTGGCACCCCGCCACTCCCAGCACCACCTGCCTGCACGCGAGCAGCAGCAAGAAACAGGGAAGAGGGGAGTGGAGGCAGGGAAGAGGCAGAAGAAGCAGGGTATTAGAAACATGGGTTGAGGGGGAGGAAGATGTGACCTTGGCTGATGTCTCAGTGGATGATGCCTAGGCTGTGGCACCCCGCCAATCCCACCACCACCTGCCTGCACGTGAGCAGCAGCAAACAGCAGGGAAGGGGAGAGTCGAGGCAGGAAAGAGGCAGAAGAAGCAGGGTATTACAAACATGGGTTGAGGGAGAGGGAAATGTGAGCTTGGCTGATGTCTCGGTGGATGATGCCACGGCTGTGGCACCCCGCCACTCCCACCTCCACCTGCCTGCGCAGAGCAGAGAGACCAAACAGGGAAGAGGCAGAAGGAGCGGGGTATTTTGAGTCGACTCAAAATACAGCGGGGTATTAGAAACATGGGTTGAGAGAGGAAGATGTCCACTCCCACCACCACCTGCCTGCACGCGAGCAGAGAGACAAAACAGGGAAGAGGCAGAAGGAGCAGCAGGGTCAGTCAGGCGCTCGTTGGTCGGTCAGGCGCTCGTTGGTCGGTCAGACGCTCGTTGGTCGGTCAGGCGCTCGTTGGTCAGTCAGGCGCTCGTTGGTCGGTCAGGCGATCGTTGGTCAGTCAGGCGCTCGTTGGTCAGTCAGACGCTCGTTGGTCGGTCAGGCGCTCGTTGGTCGGTCAGGCGCTCGTTGGTCGGTCAGGCGCTCGTTGGTCAGTCAGGCGCTCGTTGGTCAGTCAGACGCTCGTTGGTCGGTCAGGCGCTCGTTGGTCGGCCAGGCGCTCGTTGGTCGGTCAGGCGCTCGTTGGTCGGTCAGACGCTCGTTGGTCCGTCAGGCGCTCGTTGGTCGGTCAGGCGCTCGTTGGTCGGCAGGCGCTCGTTGGTCGGTCAGGCGCTCGTTGGTCGGTCTAGAGCGGGCGGGGGATAAGAGGACGATGTGAGCTTGGCTGATGTCTCGGTGGATGATCCCTAGGCTGTGACACCCCACCACTCCCACCACCACCTGCCTGCAAGCGAGTCAGCCTAGAGAAGAAGAGGCAGAGGGGACAGGAAGGAGGAAGCAGGCAACGCAGATGACACAGGGACGTGGACCCATGGGCGAGGGAGAGGACGACACGATACGCGATGCGATGTAGTCAAACAGGTCGCCCTGGCCGCATGCACGCCTCCATCACCACGTGCACCACGTGGGGCTCCTCTACCACCTCCTCCACGTGCACCACGTGGGCCACGTGGGCCGCATGGGGTTCCTCTATCACCTCTCGTACCTCTCAAGGCGGAAGGAAATGCACCAAACACTCTAGGGTCGCATCGCACCTGAGCAGGCTGCACTCAGTGCAGGTCGTACCTGAACAGATATCGCACGGCTGGCTCAGGCATCGCATTGAAATGCGCGATGTAGTCAAACAGGTCGCCCTGCCCGCAAGCCTCCATGACCACCTCTTGCACCTGGGCAGGCCGCACTTAGTGCAGGTCGTACCTGGAAAGGCAGCCCTCAGTGTAGGTCGTACCTGAAGAGGTATCGCACGGCTGGCTCGGGCATCCCGTTGAAATGAGCGATGTAGTCAAACAGGTCGCCCTGCCCGCACGCCTCCATCACCACGTGCACGGCGTGGGGCTCCTCTATTACTTCCTCCACGTGCACCACGCTGGGTAGCCCGCGCACTGCCAAGAGGACGTCTACCTCGGAACGTAAAGAGTCGATGTGCTGCGCAGACTGTTGGGGGGGGGGGGGACCAAGGGAGCATGGGAAAGTGGGGAGGTTTGGCGCCTCCATCACCACGTGCACGGCGTGGGGCTCCTCTATTACTTCCTCCACGCGCACCACGCTGGGTAGCCCGCGCGCTGCTAGAAGAACGCCTACTTCCGATCGCAGCGAGTCGATGTGCTGTGCAGTCTGTTAGAGAGGAGAGGGGGGGGGGGGGGGGGGGGTGGAGGCGGGAGACAGAGTTGCAGATGAAGTGAGAACGGGCGAGAACAGGGAGTGAGTGGGTGCCTTTTGAGTCGACTGAAAAGTCAACAGGGAGTGAGTGGGTGCAAGCGAGCCCGTGGGAAGGACGGGAATTGACGCGCCTCCATGACCACGTGCACCGTGTGGGGCTCCTCCACCACCTCCTCCACGTGCACCACGCTGGGCAGCCCGCGCACTGAAAGCAGGACGTCAGCCGCTGACCGCAGGGAGCAGACGTGCTGCGCGGACTGACGCGGGGGGGTGGGCGGGAGGGGGGCGGGGGGGGGGGGGGGGGGTAGTGCGGGGGAGCAGGCTAGGGAGAAAATAGCGGAAGGAGGAAGAAGAGGGGCTCCTGTACCACCGCTTCTGCGTGCGCCACTCTTGGAAGGAGTTTTTGAGATTTCTCAAAAACATCCTACAGGGGAGCGGCAAGGGAGAGAACAACGGAAGGAGGAAGAAGTAAGAAGAAGAAGTGGGGCTCCTGTACCACCGCTTCTGCATGCGCCACTCTTGGCAATCCGCGGACGGCTAAAAGGACGTCTACCTCCAATGGGATGTGACTAGTTTCGAGTTCACTTTTGAATCGACTTAAAAGTCATCTCTTGGCAATCCGCGGACGGCTAAGAGGACGTCTACCTCCGATGGGACTAGATTCGACTTCGAAAACATGGGCGTCGAGGGAGGAGGACGAGTCGAGTCGAAACCCCAAGGGTCTTCGTCACTCGCCTAGACAATGCACCGCTTTTTTAGAAGACCCGCTTTTTGAGACGTCTCAGAACTCGACAAAGAAGACCCGCTTTTCGTCCTGCGTGACAGAGTTGACCCGCGCCGGTGAGTGACCAACTCTTCGGATTTTGAAAAGCAGGCTGTCGGGCGGCGTGGACGCGTGCGGGGATTGAAGTAGACGACGTGCGGGGAGGGGCGCGTGAGGGGATTGAAGTAGACGACGTGCGGGGAGGGGCGCGTGCGGGGATTGAAGTAGACGACGTGCGGGGAGGGGCGCGTGCGGGGATTGAAGTAGACGAAGACGCCACGCCCGTTATGAGACGGGTAGATGAGACGGGGTACTGACACGGGGTTAGAGTGCGTCTAGAAACGCGTGGTACGAAGAACGCGAGGACGAACGCAGACGAGTAGACAAAAGAGAGCCCAAGAGGCGAATTGCGCAGAACGCGCGCGCAGACGCACCTGCAGCGAGGACTTGCTTATGGACTTGCACACGAAGGGACGGTTGGACGCTCTGTGTCTACACCTCCGCACCACGCCGAACCGACCCCTTCCTATTTCCTCATCTTCCAGGACGAATTTATGGCCGAGGGATCCGGAGAACCGAGGCGGAAGCAGGCGCGCGGAGGGTAATGACCCTCCTGGGAATCCCTGCAGGCTGCTCAGTGCTCCTAACGCGTGCTGTACAAGTAATGCTGGAGCAGCAGAACCCATGCTGGTCTGCCTGAACTAATTGTCAAAAAAAAAAAAAAAAAAACAATAAACTACAATAAATCGAAAGTACCAATAAAGCCGGTCTAGGAGCCAGCGTTGCGAGGGTGAACCTCCATCGTTTTTTAATAATTGTGTAGGTATGAGAAAACAGAAATCCGTAATTTCGAAGGAATGGTCCGTACTTGACGAGCTCTGGCTCAGGTGTTTGGAATGGATAAACCTGCTTGATAGATAATTCTAGCTTATGGTTCACTGACTGCCTTCGTTCTGGCCTTCGCTCCAGCGTACGGTACTGGGAGGTTGATGAGATAAAGACCATGAGATAACGATGATTCTGGACCGAGTCGAGGGAACTGTACATAAAGCGTAAGGAAGGATGATCTGATCATGGGATGCGATGTGAATGCGAAAGTGAGATGATCCCTCTCCCCATGGCCAAAAGGACGATGGGAATTCTCCCATATACTTGTCGGCAAGATCAAGGACAAATGATCTTCAAGCCACCATCGTGCGGTGGAGAGTTTATCTTGGGAAGCTCGAGAGAGCCACGGGGACAGAAGCAGGAATGAGGTGAGGTGAGGGCAGAGCAGCTGTCAAGGCGTAGTGCTTGCATCGCATGGCAGGAAACAGGTTCATCAACCATGGTGTACCGCATACGGCCGTTCTGATAACATCTACACCGCTGTGTCCGGCCAGATCAAATGATTGCCACCATCCCAAGTTCGAACAAGCTCCAGGGCGGGCTGACCGACTGACACGACAACCATAGGGTTTCGTATTTTTAGGCTACACTTGATGCTCAGGAAACTGTCTATCCATCCAAGAACTTTGAACTATATTTAGTCCCACTGAGCAGGTTTTACGCGCAACGGCCCGATGTGTACAGGCCTCAGAATCAGGCGCAATCTGAAGATTGCGCCTCGGAAAAACGTGCGCAGTAGTAAAAGAAATGACGCCCAGAATTTGCTGGCGCAGTGCATGCTGTTACTGATATTCACAAACAACAGCTCAGACCATCTTTTTTTACAGCGTCGCTGCCAGGGTGGTACTGTAACCCTGGTCTAATGTACAAACCCAGCTGTGGGGAGAGTTGTTTGTGTCCGACACAGGAGCACTCAATTGAACAACAAATAAGAATCAAAAAGACATCCGGTGTAGACAAGACGCTTTGTGCAGGGCAACACAGGACTATGGGAAATTTATGTTCCCGGGCAGCACTCCACCGCGTTGTGAACAAAACATGGTTGCTACAGTGGTGTTGATCGTGTCTGCTACGGTGACGTGGCTCATCAAGGACGATTCGTTCATGATGCAGAGCAGACTGTTCCAGGATCGAACGGCCAACACAAGCCTAAAATTCTCACGCTTTTGTAAAAAAAAAAAGTTGCACCATGATGTGTAAATGACCCTCCCTGACAGAGCTGTAAACTTTTCCAACGAACTTTACTGTTTCTGACCAGCTCCAGGTGGGAGCTGTCACAGATATTATGTCCTTATCGTACTCGCTGAGAGGCCTGCTGCGTAACTAGCTTGGTCCTCACTCCCTGGTAAACAAGCATCATACGATGTCACGTATAACTCATGCCCTTGTAGAACTAGGATCAAACTCCATATTTTGCATCCAGATTTTTTTTAATCTCTGCAATGCGATTTATGTTTTATTTCACATCAACTAGTGAGCTGCATGTACTTCGAAAGTAGTAATCGTAATCCTAACCTACATACAATGGGACCATGTTTAGAGCGTGTGAACTTTCCACAAGGTCTGCAACCGGATGCGACTATGCCGATACTGGGCCTCCTCGGGCCTGATTGAGAGGCGGTGAAGGTGGACACGTCAAATCCAATACAGTCAGGGTGTCTCCAGCGGCCACCTCTCACTCCTCAATTCTGGCCAATCATAGCCCCTCGAAACTTCACGTCAAATCTTCCTCAGGCTACTGTACGGAAACCTTGGTGGTGTCCTGTCGGAGAGGAAGAGGTGGTAGGAAACGGAATTCGGGAGATTGGTTCGGTACGAAAGATTTCATCGAAGAGAAAGGGCAGCCCAAGAAATATTTGGAAAACAAGTAACCCACTTGTCAACGGTTGCAATCGTTCGCCAATGAGGGTGGGTCCGCAGCGAGGGGTACCCGAGGGTTTAGCGGGAGATCCGAGGCTGGAAATAAATGGCCTCGGGTCTTGCGAGATACTGACGGCTCCAGCCATTCAGCTGTCAAGCCGAACACTTAACAACGTCGTGCAATTGAACTTTCACCAATCATAACTTCGAAAATTTCTGGTGGACTCTCAAAGTTCCGTAAGTATAGTCGCAACCCTCCCCTTGCGACAGTCCGCGACTATACAGCCGCTGCTCCGTCAAGAAAACTAAACCCGCAGTTAGGTCGTGACAACCCGCGGCTCCTTCGGCCGCGGGTCGACCTCGGGTCTGACACTCGCTGCGGAAATACCCTGAGGATTCTGCGAGCTCAACTCGGAATTCCGAATGTTGCATCTGATTGCTTAGGCGGAATTTTTTGTGTCGGGCAGTTTGGTCAGTATTGTCATAGTGCTGTTTTGCACCAAAATGACCTCGCACCAACTTCGGGAGTTTTCGGGGGACGGACGTCAGAGCAGCTTACTTTGACATCCGACGCAAATACTATGGTTTCGGTACAATCAATCACGGCTCTGTACGGTACAGTAGGTTGCACTACGATAATTTTTCAAATTTCGCAACTCAGGACACGCCCTTACAAATCGCATGACAGAAATGCAGACCTTTGAGAACGCAAGACTTCCTCGCAAGACGCTCTCGCGGTGACGCTGGATGGAGAGTTACTAACCGCCGCGTCGCAGCGACGATTGTATGTACAGTATTAGTTATTATCCTGAAGAGCTTACTACTATGGTTCGTTTGAGATTGCGACCAGTGCATAGGAGACTGGACGAAACGCTCTGGTGCATAGTCGGTGTCTTCTCAAGGTAGCGTATCTTCCGTGTTCGTTGGAGATAAGAATCGTTCCGCATAAGCCCCGGCTTGATTTCAGATGTATTTTGAGTCGACTTAAAACAAACCCGCACAAGCCAGGTAAACTTTGAGTAGTCGAGTCGACCTTTGAGGCGCCTCGGACCTGCACTAAGCAGCATTGTTTGGCGCTTAGGACTCCACCTAGCAGAATCGACTCGGATCCACGTACTTAACTAAGACTCGCAACCCCGAACTTGACGAAGACTCGCATCCCCGAACTTAGCTAAGAGGAGTCGATGAAGATGGCGTCGGAGAACCCCACAACTGCCCGAGCAGCTGCTGCGTTGAGAGGAACAGGTACATTTCCTTACATGTGTTTGGGTGTATGGGGGTGTGCGGGTGTGTGCGGGTGTGTGCGGGTGTGTGCGGGTGTGTGCGGGTGTGTGCGGGTGTGTGCGGGTGTGTGCGTCGGCCTAGTCGAAAATCCCCCCCCCTCCCCCGCTTGTCTGTTTTCTTTCCCCCCTTTCCCCCCTTTCCCCCAACCTCTCTTCCCTTGATCACTCAGACCAAGACGCAGACGCGCAGGTGCCTCGGCTTAGACGAAACCACGACACTGCCGCCGCGACTGGCGCTGCTGCTGCCACGCAGGCGCAGACACAAGGACAAGCGCAGCAGGCGCAGTCTCGGGCTCGGGCCCAGGCTCGGGCTCAAGGCCAGGCGCAGGACCGGGCGCAGGGGCAGGCGCTACCAGTGCGCCAGCAGCAGGGGGGAGGGGGAGGGGCAAGAGGAGCGGACGGAAGCGGCGGGCAGGCTGAATTGCTGACACCTTTGGGCGATTTACCCTCCGAAAATGCCGCTTCTGGTGGCGCGATATCTTATGGGAACGAGGAGGAGGGGGGAGACGGGGGAGGGGGCGGGGGAGAGGGGGGAGACGGGGGAGAAGGGGGGGAGGATGAGTATTATGATGAGGATGAGGAGGAGGAAGACGATGAGGGGGAGGAGGGGGGCAGGCGGGGGGGAGGGGAGGGGGAGGAGGAAGGTCGGGAGAAGGTGGTGGGGGAGGGGGAGGTGGTACTGGGGGAGTGAGGCGGAGAGGGGGAAGCACGGCTGAAAGGGAGCATAAGAGACTAAGGAGGTAGGGAGACTTATAGACTAGGGTGAGAGGGAGCATAAGAGACTAAGGAGGTAGGGAGACTTAAAGACTAGGGTGAGAGGGAGCATAAGAGACTGAGGAGGTAGGGAGACTTATAGACTAGGGATGTATGGAAGGTCCATAGGTATGAGGCAGGAGCGGCAGGGCGTACTGGGGAAAGGGGAGGGGGGGGAAGGGGGGGAGGGGGGGGGGGGCGGAGGGCATGAGAGATTAAGATGCATGTAGATTAAGGTGGTAGGTAGGTGTAGCAGCAAAAAGTCTACTCTCTTCGAGATCTTGCCCTTCAGCAAAGGAGATAGAGGTCGTCTCTGCGCCACTTCCTTTGCTGCTATGTCCCTGTGAATCCGTCATCCCCTTTACAGGCTGCTCCGCAACAGGGCGTCAGCGCAGCAGGTCGGGCTGTGGCACCGACCTGACAGTCACTAGGATTCATTTTCCCAGCTAGTGTTTACCTTGGCCGTCTCCCTTCTTCTGATGTGTCCTGAATGCGTCCCCTTTACAGGCTGCCTGCAACAGAGTGCCAGCTCAGCAGGCCAGGGAGCGGATAAGAATAGTGTGAGGACCTTCACCTATTTAAAAGTACCCCACCCTGGTTGTCCTCTTTACAGGCTGCTCCGCAACAGGGTGTCAGCGCAGCAGGCCAGAGAGCGGCGCAAAGTGTACCTTTCAGAGTTGGAGGGGCGGGTCTCGCAGCTGGACCAGCGGAACGCTGAGCTAAAAGAAACACTTAGCACCTTGCAACGAGAGAACTTCATGCTAAGACAGGTACGGAGGGAGGGAGGGGTGACTGGTCACTTAGTGTACTTGGGGAGTTAGAGCAGGGGTGTGTTAGCAGCAGTGGACCAGCAAAACGCTGAGCTAAAAGAAACAATTAGCACTTTGCAGCGGGTGAACCTCATGTTGAGAGAGGTACAAACACAATAGGGGGGGGGGGGGGGGGGGGTATGGGTGGGTTGCTTTGGGGTTGATTAGTGTACTTCGGGACTTAATGTACTCTTGCTCTGGATGTCGTACCATCTCTTGGTGCCTCCCAGGTTTCTCCTTTGGTCGCGTTTGTTCCTGCTGTGTTTGCTTGTGTTGAAGTATACTCGATTTACTTCAATAGCTTGTTCGTTACTATTGGTAAGGAGTCGTCTATTTTTTAGGTGCCTCAAAATAGTCGCTTGGCGCTCCCCTGGTTTCTCCACTCCCTTGGTCTCATTTGTTCCTGCTGTGGTCGCTTGTTCGTTTCTGCTCCCCCTTCGATTCTTGTCCCTCAGGTGGCCCGCAACACAGCTCACGCAACCGAAGCTAACCAATTTGACATGGCCTGAGGAACCTACAGCCTGGCTCGTATTTCTTTCCCACACATGTACATGTAACCCGTGCATGCTCCAGAAGGGTGTCCTCTTATTTACACGAAATCGACGTTTTGATTAGCGTTTAGGGGGATTAGTGTAGGCTCATCTTTTGATTCATTGACGGGGTTGGAAAGGTCTAGAAAGTGCATTGCCTCTCCCACGGAGGGCCGAGCCACCACCCACCACCCCTCAGCAGAAATGGTTACAGTGACTAATCCAGGAAAGTTGACACATCTACTACAAAATATATTAGGCTGTCACACATACACATCTTTGTGACAATCTTCTACTTATGACCATACACCCATATGCACCACGAAGTGTGCTTGGGTACGCTCATACAGAAAGCAGTTGGTAGACACAGGTAGACCATGAGGGCAAGGTTTGCATTCGCGTCGACTGAAAAACAAAGAGGGTAGGGGCACAAACCCCACATGCAGAGCCGCACCGAAGGGAGGAGCGACTCACAAGCCTCCCTCTACGTCTGCGCCTGTCCCTGTCCCTGCCCCTGCGCCTGCATCTCTAAGCCCGAAAAGACCTCCCCAGCCATCCACTGATCTACCTCCAGGAACCAGCACATGTCCCTATGCCTGTGCCCTCTTCTCCAGAAAAAAGCCCTCCACGAACCCCACGTGCAGCGCCACACCGATCGGAAGGGCATCCTCATTTATGGTGAACACGGGGGAGTGGAGGGGAGGGCTGCTGCTGCTGCTGCTGCTGCTGCTGGTGTTATTATCACCAGACTTATTCTCACCAGACGCCCCCACTCCTAGAAAGAACATGGCGCCCGGAACAGCCTCCTGGTAGAACGAGAAGTCTTCCCCAGCCATCCACGGGTCTACCTCCAGGTACGCGGAGCTTCCCAGAAGCTTCTGGACCACGTCGCGGCCGAGGGCGTGCATGCTGACGTCATTGACGGTGGGGGGGTAGGCTGGGATGCGCGTGGGTGGCCAGTCGTATCCGAGAGGGTCGGCAAGAGGTTCGGCAGGAGGTTCGGAAAGAGGAGGAACCTCAGCTGCTGACGATTCAATGTGACCACTGCTGCTGCTGCTGCTGCTGCTGCTGCTGCTGCCGGTACTGCCAGTGCTGCTAGCACTGCAAGTGCCTTCAGCCGTCCCGCCACCAGTGCTTGAACAGAAACCTCCTGCTTCTGCTGCTTCTGCTGCAGCAGAGCTTTCCGACACCCCAGCATCACCACTAGCAGCACCACCACTAGCACCACCATCACTAGCAGCAGCACCAGTATCAGTATCATCAGCAGCAGCAGCTTGCACAGTATCCATCATGCCATAATCCACGCTTCCCCTACATCCAAACACACGCGCCTGCGCGTCGATGATGTCAGCAATGCGCCGTTCCAGGTCAGCGAGCCCCTCCTTAGTGGTGGCTCTGTAGGTGCCTCGGAGCGTGACAGTATCCGGGATGACATTGTCGGCCGAGCCGCCGTGGAATTGAGTCACGGAGACAACCCGAGAAGCGAAAGGGTCAGTTTCCCGCGATACTATGGCCTGGAGGCTGGGAAGGGGGGGCAGGGGGGGGGGAAGGGTGGATGTGGGGGGGTGGGGAAAGCGGGGGGAAATGGATGGGGGTGAAAAAAACAGGTACTTTACAGGTCTGCAAGTCCGTCCTTAGTGGTGGCTCTATATAGGTGCCTCGGAGCGTGAATGTATCGAGGATGATATTGTCAGAGGAGCCGCCGTGGAATTGAGTCACTGAGACAACCCGCGAGGCAAGGGGTCGGTCTTCCTCGATACTGGGTGGGGGAGGGGGGGGAGGGCAGGTTATGGGAGGGGAGGAAAAGATGGGATGGGGATGATGGGGATGATGGGGATGATGGGGATGATGGGGATGATAAGGGAGATTGAATCACACAAACAACCATATGGTTACGGGGACATGGACGGGGTGAAGGACAAGACAAGCGATGTCGTGGACAAGAGCAAATGGTTACAACTTGCCTGTTACGACATACCCCAGCAAGACAACTCGTGAGAGGATGTGGAGACATGCTCCGATTTCACCCAATGGTGTAACGGCCCGGTTTCAGTGTTGTTGCAAGCCCGTTATACTATTGGCTGCCAGAACAAGTACAGGTACAAGTACAGGTACACCCGCTGTCGAAACTCCTCCCCAAGAATGGCCTGGGACAACAGCCGAAGCTCCACATCCTCTCGCGAGTTGTCGAGCTGAGGTATGTCTTCGAAAACTAGCCGTAACCATTTTTGAGTCGACTCACAAGTCACCTTGCTGGGGTATGTCTTAGGAAAGTAGCCGTAACCATTTGCTTGTGCCCACGACATCGCCCGTCTAATTCTATACCTCGTCCGCGTAAAAGTGTGCGTTGCTAACTAGAGACAGAGCAACAAAAGTGACTTTTGAGTCGACTCAAAAGTCACCTCGTTAAAAGCATGCGTTGCTAAATAGAGACAGGGCAACAAAAGAACAGAGGACTAAGGGGAATGGAATTTGTTAAAGACAAAACGACATGCACAGCAGCGAGGATGGGATCAGCTGTGAACCTGAGGCATGGCGGCATGCCCCCCTTTGCCCCACACGGTGGCGTTGAACCGACCCGACCCCGCTAGCAGCACGTCACAGAGTTACAGTGTCACCCGGTTACCATGCTTACCTCGAGTCGATGTGAGCAGCAGCGAGGATGGGCTCTGCTGTGAACCTGAGGCATGGAGGCATGCCCCCCTTTGCCCCACACGGTGGCGTTGAACCGACCCGACCCCGCTAGCAGCACGTCACAGAGTTACAGTGTCACCCGGTTACCATGCTTACCTCGAGTCGATGTGAGCAGCAGCGAGGATGGGCTCTGCTGTGAACCTGAGGCATGGCGGCATGCCCCCCTTTGCTACCCCAGATAGTGGCATTGCATTGGCATTGACAAGCCATGCAATAGGGCTTGGTACCTTGAGACGATATGAGCAGCAGAAAGGATAGGGTCGGCTGTGAACTGAGGCATGGCGGCATGCCCCCCTTTGCCCCACACGGTGGCGTTGTACCGGCCGTGTGAGCAACCAGTGTAATGGTGTCACCTCGACAGCATATGCGGTGTTACCTCGAAACAACATGCGCGGCAGCAAGGATAGGATCTGCTGTGAATTGAGGCATGGCGGCATGCCCCCCTTTGCCCCACACCGTGGCGTTGAACCGACCCGACCCCGCTAGCAGCATGCCGGGGCGACTGCCTACATAGCCCGCTGGGATCTGAAAGGGGGAGGGAGGGGGGCGGGGAGAGGGGGCGAAGAAGAGTAAACCTGGCCATGTAGATGGTTCAAAGACGTCTGGAAAAAGGCCAGGTTAACCTCAAGGCCTGACCCCGCCAGCAGCACATAGCCCACAGAGCCCGCTGGGATGTGGGGTGAGGAGAGCAGAAGGGGAGGACAGAAAGAGAGAAAGTGAGGGAGACAGGGAGATGGGGAGATAGGGAGAAGCCAACTGGAAAGAGGCCTGACCCTCCCTGCAACACGCCCGGGCGACTGCCCACATAGCCCGCTGGGATGTGAGGGGGAGGAGAGGGAGGGGGGCGGGTAGAGGGACGGAAGAGGAGTAACCCTGGGCTTGTAGATGGTTCTAAGGCGTCTAGAAAAAGGCCTGAGCCTGCCTGCAGCACGTCCGGGCGACTGCCCACACAGCCTGCTGGGATGTGAGGGGGAGGAGAGGGAGGGGGGCGGGTAGAGGCCCCCCGGATCTGAGACAAGGCGCGGGCGATAGGGAGAACAGTTTTGAGGCGCCTCAAAACTAGGCCCCTCTGAGACAAGGCACGGGCGATAGGGAGAAACGGAAGAAAGGAAGAAAGGGGAGAGGGAGAGAGGGAGGAAAAGGAAGAAAGGGTGAGACACAGGGAGATGGAGAGCGAAAGAGAAGCCTGTACCCGCTAGCAGCATGCTGGGCCGACTGCCCACAAAGGCCGCTGGTAGCTCAGAGGAGGAGAGCAGACAGAGCAGACAGAGCAGACAGAGCAGACAGAGCAGACAGAGCAGACAGAGCAGACAGAGCAGACAGAGCAGACAGAGCAGACAGAGGGCAAAGGCAGCACACACGCCCCTGAGAGGCCTAATTTTGAGGCGCCTCAAAAATAGACTCCTCACGCTGGAAGCTCAGAGGAGGAGAGCAGCAGAACAGACAGACGGCAAAGGGAGCACACACGCCCCTGCAACACCCCCGTCCACAATCCTTTCTCTTGTCTCGACCCACGCACAGGCACTCCCAAGTATACTTGCCTCTCGTTGCTCTCAATCGCCTTAATTAACACACCTTGGGCGATACATGCAGCGCAAAGGCAGCAGACACGCCCCTTAAAGCCCCCCCATCCACCATCCTCTTTCCCCCTGCTCCCCCCTCCTCTGCTGGCTGGAAAATAAGACGAACCGTGCCGGCCAAGGTGCCTGGGGAAGGGCGGCAACGATGACAGCGGGAAAAAAAAGCATTACGGAAGGAAGGTAGGATAAGAGAAGAAAAGGTTTTACTGGGGTAGGAAAGACAAAAATCATCTGCCAATATGCATACCGACCTGGTTGGAAATTTCCTGCCTGCCCGAGCACGAGCCCGCCGAATGTGGGCTGAGCTGAGATTGCTCCGAGTGAAAGCATTTCTCACCTGCCCGAGCGCGCTCCTGCAGGATCCGGGCAGCAGCGAGCAGCATGGCGGTGTGGGCGTCATGGCCGCATGCATGCATCTTGCCAGGATGGCGCGACTTGAACGGCACATCCGTCTCCTCCATAATGGGTAGAGCGTCCATATCCGCCCTTAGAGCCACTATAGGTTCTGCCCCCGTTCCAATCGTTGCCACAACACCTAGATAAAGAAGGGGGGCCGCGAACGAGAGTAGGGGAGTTGGGGAGGGAAGGAAGGGGAGGAAGTGGAAAGGGTTGAGGAGGGGAGGCATGGCAGTGTGGGCGTCATGGCCGCATGCATGCATCTTGCCGGGATGGCGCGACTTGAACGGCACATCCGTTCCTTCCGTAATGGGAAGAGCGTCCATATCCGCACGGAGCGCCATGTCGGTTCTGCGCCCGTGCCTATGGTTGCCACCATGCCTGCGATGCGATCAGCAGAAAGGGTGGAGAGCAGAGGGTAGGGAGTGTGGGGACTTGATTTTTGAGTCGACTAAATAATCACCTTTTGAGTCGACTCGAAAAAGGTTGGAGGGCAGAGGGTAGGGAGTGTGGGGACTTGAACGGCACATCTGTTTCTTTTGTAACAACAGGCCTTTTGAGCGTCCTTGTCCGCACAGACCGCCATCACTGGTCTGGAATCAGTGCCGATAGTTGGCACAACACCTTGTCGGAAATCAGGGCTGCAAACGAGAAAAGGGAGGTTTGAGGCAAGGGGGGGGAGGGGGAAGGGGGATGCAATGGGAGTGAGAAAGAGTAGGGAGGAGAGCAGTAACTTAGATGCCATGGCGCTCGCCCTAGGTGACTTTTGAGTCAACTCATAAGTCATCTTTTGAGTCGACTCAAAAGTCAATGGGAGTGAGAAAGAGTAGGGAGGAGAGCAGTAAGTTAGATGCCATGGCGCTCGCCCTGTCTCCCCCGTGGTTCCTCTTGAGTTGGGCTGGAACGGTATTCTCAAGGATGCCGGCATCTCCAGCACCATGGCGCTCAGCCTGACCTCAAACATACCCGCTATAAGCCTCATAACATACCTGCTACAAGCCTCAGATCGTACCCTATAAGCCCTCTCACCCGTGATGCCTGCTAAGTTGGCCTGGAACAGTATTCCCAAGGATGCCAGATTCTCCTGCATGATGGCACTCGTCCTGACCTAAAAAATCTCAGCCATAAGATTCAGAGCATACCCGTTACAAGACTCAGAAGATACCCGTTACAAGACTCAGAAGATACCCCGTTACAAGCATCAGAACATTCCCGTTATAAGCCCTCTCACCCGTGGTGCCTGCGAAATTGGGCTGGAACGGTATTCCCAAGAACGCCAGCGTCTCCTGCACCATGGCGCTCGTCCTGAACTCAAAATCCCCGCTATAAGCCTCATAACTTACCCGTTTTTAATTACAAATGTACTCGTAACTTCTTAAGCTCTCTCACCTGTGGTTCCTGCAAAGTTGGGCTGGAACGGTATTCCCAAGGACGCCAGCGTCTCCTGCACCATGGCGCTCAGCCTTACCCCAAATATACCCGCTATAAGCCTCAGAATATACCCGTTATAAGCCTCAGAACATACCCGTTATAAGCCCTCTCACCAGTAGTTCCTGCAAAGTTGGGCTAAAACGGTATTCTTAAGGACGCCAGCGTCTCCTGCACCATGGCGCTCGTCCTGACCTCAAACATACCCGCTGTAAGCCTCGCAATATACCCGTTATGAGACCTCTTACCCTTGGTTCCTGCGAAGTTGAGCTGGAACGGCATTCCCAAACACGCCAGCGTCTCCTGCACCATGGCGCTCGTCCGGAATTTCAACATACACCCCTTAAGCTTCAGAATATATGCGGTATAGGCCTCAGAATATACCCGTTTTAAGCCCTCTCACCCGTGGTTCCTGCGAAGTTGGGCTGGAACGGTATTCCCAACGACGCCAGCGTCTCCTGCACCATGGCGCTCGTCCGGAATTCGCGGAACATGAGCTCGGGAATTTCATGCAAGGCTCGCCTTAACCCAAGAACCATGGCCAATCCGTTGCTGCCACGTGCCTCCTCCAGAATCGCCTGGAACGTCACTCCGCCGCTGGCTGCCACGTGCGCAGGGGTGAGCAGGAGGAGGAGGAGGTGGAGGAGGAGGAGGAGGAGGTGGCGGTGGTAAAGAAACGCCATTACGATTTGCCTGCAAGGAAAAAAATAAACAAAAGAAGTCACAGAAACGCATGGAGGTAAACGAGGTGGAATTCGGAAGCAACAGGAAAGATTTAGAAGAAATAAAATCCGCGACCATCACCCTAACAGCCGCTCAAAATCTGACTGGATTCGGCTTTTGTAGCTCCGAAAACGGACAGCCAGACTCGGTTGCAAAGGATTTGGCCCTGAATCGGGATTGTTCCAGAAAAACGGAGTCTCTTTATTCTGACTCGGTCCAGCAATCCCAGCTCCAACGGTCAACTACACTGTGATCTGAGGAGGTGAACCATGGCTCCGACCCAGACGAACTGGTTGCAAGCCTAAACGTTGAATTTGAAGCCAGAGAACGAATACCAACCTCTAATTTCCTCAGATATCCACGATCAACAGAAACGGGCGTCAGATTCCTCCCAGGAAGGAAGGCGAGTCAGAAAATCTCGAGGCCGTGAGACAATGATGTCGGAAAGAAAGCGAAGTCGAAGAGGGGAAATTCAGCAGCTGAAGGGAGCAACCTGGCCCCTGTGATGAAGCGATGTGGGCTCGCGTGACGTGATATCGAACATGACCTGTATCGAAGCGTATTTCTCTCACGAGCTCTTGATCCGGGTTCACCAAGGGTCCAGGAAACCAACTACGAGCAAAACCGCCGATGCCGGGGATCGAACCCGGATCTTCCGCGTGACAGGCGGAGATACTGACCATTATACTACATCGACACGTCTAGTATGATGCAAATATTTATTTTAAAATCTTCAATTTTTCAGCTCGCACCTTTCTCTGTTCGCCGCCGCACGTGCGTCGTGTCACAGCCGCACAATCGTGGGGGAGGTCCATCGCAGCCGCAGAATTGAACAAAATGGGGCAGAAGGATAAAACGAAGTTGACGACTGCCAGTGTCGGCAGTCAGACACCAAGCGGCTCTGAAACTGCCCTGAAACTGCCCACCGTCGGTGTTTCTGGGGAGTGTACCGTCGACTCGACACACCTTCACATTTTCCTTCCCTTCCCCTTTCCTCTTCCCCGTTCTCTTCCGCGTGCGCTTCTTGAGGCGTAAGGGCGTGTCTGGGCGTGCGTTTTATTGCGGTTGAGTAAGATGCTCTGCGAAACAGAACATTATCATAACGATCCAAAACGGTTGGTTAAGGTTTCGAGAGAGATACGTACGCGGGGGACACGCCCTACTGTAGGTCTTGCTGTTCAAGGTGTTCTTGCTTCTTTCATGGGTCGTGAATCGTGATTCGTGAATCGTGATTCGTGAATCTAGCCTTCCTGTCCCAAAGCTTTCCCCCTAACCACACTCTCTAGGTTCTTGCAACAGTAGCAATTGCTGCCCAGGCTCACCTCAGGGCGTGTCCCAAAGAATCCTTCAGGGAGAAAACATACTAAACCGTTTATTGTTTTTATTTAACCGTTCTAGAACGTGGAATATCTTTACGAACCGCAATGCGGCGTACTTCTATGTCACGCCCTCAGGGCGTGTCCCAAGAGTACCTCCGCCATTCAGTCTGTGCAGGTCCAATACGGTGTCCCAAGGTTCGAGGCGGTGAAGTAGAAAAACCGTATTCCAACGTTCTGAAACGCACATCACCGTAGTCAGTGTATGCGGGACGTACTCTTGGGCAGGCCTTCAGGTTGGGGAGTCGGGGGGGAGGAAAAGGGGGGAAGGACGTGTGCCTTGTCACAACAGCGGCAGGTGGGAGAATTCACGGAGAATCACCGACTGACCGACCGAGCAACACCCACACAACAACCCGCATACCCACCCATCCCACGGCTCACGAATCGCCACCACCCTTGTTGCGCACACATTCGGCTCGAGTCGTGAATGGAACACTACCAACCAGTAGGGAGGATTCACCCGAAGCGAATTTCGCCATGCCTACCGAACTCGGCCCAACCACATCACCATAGAATCATGGCCATGGATGGATGGACTTTTGAGGCGCCTCAAAACTCGGCCCACCCAGATCACCATAGAATCATGGTCATGGATGGATGGAGGAGGTGTTGCGTGTGAGATACCACCTCGTGAACAGTCTCTGGCCCGGACCAGAGTCCTCGACCCTTCGCTCGGTGTGGCTTGGCAAGAGTGCGTACAGAACCACAGTTTCCTCCACGCATCCAACCCCGCTCCCTTCCATTGAACCGTACCGTACCGCATCCCTCCCCGTCCCACCCCTCCCACAAACAGCCAACTACTCGTCGCGAATTGGTGATGCCTGCCAGAGAACTTGCTCCCCGCGGCACGAGTAGCGATAGTTATGTACAGTACGTAGCAATACAGTGCGGCGGGTTAGGTGTACATAATCCTCGCTAGTCGCGCCACGTCCCAGCCTCGGCTCCTGTAATATTCTTGAAAATCCATAGCCGCTCGTTACCATTCTCCGGCCGTCCGCTTGGCCCCATCGCGCCAGTTCCGCCAGCTTTTGAGTCGACTCAAAAGCAGACTCAAAAGCAAACTCGTAGACTGCTCGTCTCGCCTCGTCTCCTCCATATCCGGTCGTCGCCGTTCTCCCGGCCGTCCGCTCGTCCCCACGGCGTCAGCTCCGCCAGCTCCGCCATTCCCGCCAGTTCCGTTTGTTCCGCCAGACCATCTTCCATCGCGCAACTGCCGTTACTAGCCCGTCCGCTATTAGCCCGTCCACCGCTCTCCCTCCCGTTCCGCACCGGCGATCCGCTACTCGCCCATCCGCTATTAGCCCGTCCACCGCTCGCCTCACCCATCCGTAGCTGGTCGGTACGCTGCCACTACTCGCTCGCCAGTCCCCCAGCGGCAATCCGATCCTCCCATTGCGGACGGCTATCCGCCGCCACCGCGCGCAAATTCCGCCAGGCTATCCGCCATCGCGTTAGTTCCGCTACTGCGCAAGTTCCGCCAAAGGCCCGCACCATGCGCGCGCGGCTAGTGGTACACCGTCGCGACTGGCGGTCGCGACACGTCGTCATCCCGGCTACGCTCCTGTCGCTCGTTTTAGTCGCGTCCTTCGGTGGGTTCGGATCGGTGCAAGTCGGTGCGGCGCCGTTCAGCGTGCTCGACTCGTACCAGCCGCCATGCCCTTTCTGCCGGACCCTCCCCCAGAAGGTACGGCTCCTCGCCACGCGTGCAAGGAGCATGGCTCCCCCACACCCCCCCACACACCCCCCCATTCCCCCCACTCCCCCTTCCGCGGTGCGCGCGCCGCAGGGCACACACACAATGCGCATGTGCGCCCGCACGGTGCCTAATGCGCCGGCAACGCTTTTGAGTCGACTCAAATGCGCCGGCAACGCGCGCATCTCACGCGGCGCGCGGAAGGTACGCAGAAGTCCGCGTGGCCTCCGTAGGGATGGAATCCAGATCGGTGAAAGCAGGTGCGAATCGGTGTATGGCCCTCCAGCGAGCTGGCCTTGTAGCAGCCAACCTTTCCCCTTCCCGGTCGCCCTTCCCCCGGCGACCCTTCCCCCCATCCCTTCCCCCCATCCCTTCCCCCCGTCCCTTTCCCCCCGTCGCTCCCCCCAACCCCGCCTCCCCCTCCTCCTCCCCTCCCTTTGGTGCAAGAAGGTGCGAATCGGTGCATCGCCGTCCACCGACCTGGTCTTGTAGCAGCCGCCGCCCTTCCCCTTCCCCTTCCCCTTCCCCTTCCCCTTCCGCTTACCTTCCCGTCGCTTCCTTACCCGTCTTCAGATCTATCTCTGCCCCACCCTTTTCCGCGTGGTTCCTTTCCCTTTTCCCCTCTCTCCCCTCCCCTTCCCCTCTCTCTCTGTCCCTGGCCCTGCCGCTGCCCCTACGCCTGTCCCTTTCCTTCTGTTTCCTAATCGTCTCAAAACTCCATTTCATTCCTCCTTGCCCCTATCCCTGTCCCTGTCCCTGTCCCTATCCCTGTCCCTGTCCCTATCCCTGTCCCTATCCCTATCCCTATCCCTGTCCCTGTCCCTTCCCACCCTTCCCTATTCCTTCTTACCTTTTCCTTTCTAACTTCGCCAGGTTGGAAGCTGTGGAGCGACCCTGCCACGTGGGCCAGTACCGGCAGCTCCGTGGTTCCAGGAGTGAAGGCAGCTGGGAGCGAGTGGGCGGATGTGACTATACCGTGTGGGACGGCCGTGCTGCTGGATGTGCCTCTAGTGAGCCTCAGCAAGCTCGTCATAAAAGGATGGCTCAGGTGTGTACGGTTGCTTCTCTGTGTTAGTGTGTGTGTGAGTGTGAGAGTGTGTGAGTGTGTGTGTGTGTGAGTGTGTGAGTGAGAGTGTGAGTCGAGGTGCAAGCACCCTACATCGTCGTTCAGGGCCGTCTTGCCGTCTTGTTCCTCGGACAATCCCTTCCGCCTTCACCCTGTGGTGAACTGAGAGTGCTTTTGAGGCACTCTCAGTTCAGGGCCGTCGGTTCCGCCTTCACCCTGTGGTGAACTGAGAGTGCTTTTGAGGCACTCTCAGTTCAGGGCCGTCGGTTCCGCCTTCACCCTGTGGTGAACTGAGAGTGCTTTTGAGGCACTCTCAGTTCAGGGCCGTCGGTTCCGCCTTCACCCTGTGGTGAACTGAGAGTGCTTTTGAGGCACTCTCAGTTCAGGGCCGTCGGTTCCGCCTTCACCCTGTGGTGAACTGAGAGTGCTTTTGAGGCACTCTCAGTTCAGGGCCGTCGGTTCCGCCTTCACCCTGTGGTGAACTGAGAGTGCTTTTGAGGCACTCTCAGTTCAGGGCCGTCGGTTCCGCCTTCACCCTGTGGTGAACTGAGAGTGCTTTTGAGGCACTCTCAGTTCAGGGCCGTCGGTTCCGCCTTCACCCTGTGGTGAACTGAGAGTGCTTTTGAGGCACTCTCAGTTCAGGGCCGTCGGTTCCGCCTTCACCCTGTGGTGAACTGAGAGTGCTTTTGAGGCACTCTCAGTTCAGGGCCGTCGGTTCCGCCTTCACCCTGTGGTGAACTGAGAGTGCTTTTGAGGCACTCTCAGTTCAGGGCCGTCGGTTCCGCCTTCACCCTGTGGTGAACTGAGAGTGCTTTTGAGGCACTCTCAGTTCAGGGCCGTCGGTTCCGCCTTCACCCTGTGGTGAACTGAGAGTGCTTTTGAGGCACTCTCAGTTCAGGGCCGTCGGTTCCGCCTTCACCCTGTGGTGAACTGAGAGTGCTTTTGAGGCACTCTCAGTTCAGGGCCGTCGGTTCCGCCTTCACCCTGTGGTGAACTGAGAGTGCTTTTGAGGCACTCTCAGTTCAGGGCCGTCGGTTCCGCCTTCACCCTGTGGTGAACTGAGAGTGCTTTTGAGGCACTCTCAGTTCAGGGCCGTCGGTTCCGCCTTCACCCTGTGGTGAACTGAGAGTGCTTTTGAGGCACTCTCAGTTCAGGGCCGTCGGTTCCGCCTTCACCCTGTGGTGAACTGAGAGTGCTTTTGAGGCACTCTCAGTTCAGGGCCGTCGGTTCCGCCTTCACCCTGTGGTGAACTGAGAGTGCTTTTGAGGCACTCTCAGTTCAGGGCCGTCGGTTCCGCCTTCACCCTGTGGTGAACTGAGAGTGCTTTTGAGGCACTCTCAGTTCAGGGCCGTCGGTTCCGCCTTCACCCTGTGGTGAACTGAGAGTGCTTTTGAGGCACTCTCAGTTCAGGGCCGTCGGTTCCGCCTTCACCCTGTGGTGAACTGAGAGTGCTTTTGAGGCACTCTCAGTTCAGGGCCGTCGGTTCCGCCTTCACCC